TACAGCATTAGGCTGCGTGATGGGGCACATGTTAGCATTCCAGAATCCACCTCCTGCTCTATCTATAACGGATGATAGTGAGATCTCAGTTACTACCATTCTATAACAATCAATCTTCACTTCTGTTCCTTCATTATCTGACCCACAGCAGGCCTGGTCATGGTCCACTATTGAAATATAGGTATATTTTCATGACTCACAAGAAAGAGGTTCTCTATGCTATTTCTGAAAAGACATTCTATTATCCTTTATACAGAAACAACAAGTTTGATGAGAGGTTACTGACATAGTAAAATGTAACTATATCCAAATTACAAATATATTTTTGATAGAATTGAGGCATACTCTGTTTTCATTTACCATGTCATATTATATTTCTTACTATATTTTTTACTCCAAAGACTCAGGGTATTTTGTTTGATCAACATGAATGAATTTTATTGTGCAACTACCATGTAGCAGGCACTAGAAAACGTGGGTCTTCAAAAATGAGTTCTTTATGGAATTTACTTAAAACTTTCAGTAATAAAATTCTTTTACTAATTTAAGATTTAGATAAGACTTTGGTCACACTTTCTTCCTCTCATACATCACTGCCTTTTTGGTCGCGTTGTCAAAGTAAGAAAATACGTGCCCAGATTTATCAAAGTGGATTAGATACCACCAAGTAACACAACCCAAACATCATAAGAAAAACTAGCTAACATGAACCTAAGAGAATCTTGCACAGAGCCAGCAGTTATTATTACAAAGGACGCGTCCAAAAAGGACTGGAAAATCAGAGACAGATAATATCAAGTCTGCCAAACCAAAGGCAAATATTGTTAGAGGGAAGATCTGCATTGCTGATTTAACCAAACACAGACTTGTAGCTCTAAGGATTCCTGGAACCTAATTAACCTGCTTATCAAGAATGCTGCTTTCCCAATGCAATTTAAAGCACTTCATCAGGAGTTACTTTTTTTTTTTTTTAATTAAGCAGCATTCAAGTCAGGTATATTTTCCTAAATTGCTAGCAGTTGCCAAGTAAAAACACAGTTAGCAGCACAGCAGGATTTTAACTATCGAACTGCCTCAAAGTTTCTGATTTCCATCATCAGTGGAGGTTCAGCCCAACGCCACGGGTAAGAGCTGCCTTTAGAGAGGAAATCTACACATGGCCTACGGCAGTGCCGCCAGACTTTTCCACCAAAGCTCTCCTTACTAAGGGGTGGGAAGTCCTAGCCCTGACGGTCTACAAACATTCTGAGGTCTCAAGGTTTATCTTTAAAATCTCCACAATTCATGTAATTTCATTGCGATGTAATGTATTTCCAAGTTTATTTTAATATAACCAACACTTACTGAATACTACTTGCTAAGAATTTTACATAAATTACCTTACTTCTCACAGTAATAGGCCCTATTTCTATCACTATTTTGGAGTGAGGAAACTTCACCTCAGAAAAATTAAGCAATATATATATATTTTTTTTTGCGGTGCGCGGGCCTCTCACTGCTGTGGCCTCTCCCGTTGCGGAGCACAGGCTCCGGACGCGCAGGCTCAGCGGCCATGGCTCACGGGCCCAGCCGCTCCGCGGCATGTGGGATCTTCCCGGACCGGGGCACGAACCCGCGTCCCCTGCATCGGCAGGCGGACTCTCAACCACTGCGCCACCAGGGAAGCCCTAAGCAATGTTCTTAAGCTTATGAAACGGAGATGGGATTTAAGCCACACAAGTTTCTATTTGTTCTTCTCCAGTATATTACACTACACTGTTTTGAATCACTTTTCAGTTAAATGAGTTAACTCTTCCTCCTCTAGTTGCTTAAGTCAGAGGTCAGCAAACCTTTTCTGTAAAGGGCCACGTAATACATTTGATAGGCTTTGTGGACCATATATGGTCTTTGCTGGCTACTACAACTCAGTTCTGCCACTGTAGTGTCACAGCAGCCATACACGATCCTTAAACGAACGATGTGGCTGTATTCCAGTAAAATTATATTTACTGAAATGGGTGGCAGGCAGGTTTGGGCGATAGCTTGTAAACTCTTAATATAAGTAAAATTCCTGTTCCAGACTGAATGCATATTTATCTTGTGGTTTTGTATAATTGCCTGTACTAGTTTGAGAACAGGTCATAAGAAAACATTTAAAAAAAAAAAAAAA